GCAGCTGTACAAGATCTATGCTTACAAACAATTAAAGTGTATATTTATATTATATAGAAATGTTTTAAGGCTGTAATGACATCCCACTTCCATTGTCTAAAGTTAAAATCTGCAGCATTATTGTTGTCTTGAAAATATACGAAATCTATTTCGAAGACATACGTATATTGTACAAACAGTTCAAAGGAAAAAGTAAAATGGAAATTATCTTCGGTAAATTTGGTTTCTTATATGGTGTGTTACTAGTTGTGTGTTTTGTTTTTAATAATGAAATAAAGTATCGAGAAAAAGTGGAGTACGTTAAATTAATATGATTTTGGAGCTTCATCACGTCTTTACAGTCCGTTCATGCTCGATCTAACGATCGTGCATCCTGAAAATAGTCTTGTAAAAGGCTCCATTGTGAGTCTGAAATGCCCAAAGCACACTCCTCTTCCCTTCACGCCTTCCATCAGTATTCCTAACCCCTGTTTTAATCAACAGTAAGATTGCTCAGAAGTCGATAGGCACCGCGTCCAACGTTCGATCGGTATGACTTCGTTTCAAAAAACGTGAATTGCCATTTCATTCTCTCCAGCTGATTGATTTATGCGATGACTGAACAGATTCGTTGTTAACTTGTGTACCAGGGCTATGCAGGCCGATTAGGATATGACGGACATAGTAGTGGTTGAAACGTTATTTATATTGGCAAAATACTTGACAACTGTTTTGGTGTGAACTGGATTAAGTTGGTGAAATGTAATGTTTACCAATTTCATTTGTGGCACTGTATATCAAAATTAGATTAAGAATTTTCTAATTCTATGTTTTTATTTATTCTAACGCCATATCTTATTAACTGTTTTCTAGAATTAACCTGCTCAATACTCAGGCGAACCAACAAGCTAGTCTTCTTAATCCTGGAGCGGGTCATGCAACCACATTGTCAACGGGAAAAGCTAACATTAGTAATATAATAGTATTGTCTGTTGTCTGTCCATGTAACTACTTCGCAGGGTGTGGGTGGATCTTCACCAAAATTGGTATGGACATTCATTTGGACCATGCGAGGCTACATACAATTTTTCAGTTTTGCTGTTTTTATGGGCGTTTTTTGAGTTTTTTTACCACTAATTCGTCCCTCCAGATGGACGTTCACCAAATTTCCTAAGGAGGTTCATTGAATCTATGGGGAGATACATACAAATTTTCAGTTTTGCATTTTGCTGTTTTTATGGGAGTTTTCGCGTTTTTACCACTACTTCGTCCCCTGTTGAAGGATCTTCACCAAATTTTGCATGATGGTTTGCTGGTTCCATGCGGAGGTGCATGTAAAATTGCGGTTTCACATTTTATGTTTCGCAGTTATTATAGGCGCTTTTGCGTTTCATACAATTACATATAATGGAAGCAACTTTTCATGTCCTAAGATAACCTTTCATTAATCATGAATTTATATAATTTCCGTCTAGGGGACAGGTACTACAACTAGTTATTTATAAGACCTTTCGAGTGAAAATAATTGTATTAGACAGTTGAACGGATATTTCGTGGAAATAACTTCTAAAATAGAATGTACCTACTTATTGTATCAGAAGTTCTCCATCTAAAACATTGTATATGACTATCCTACCTGCTATTTCTTTAACCACCTAATGGTTCTACATTATTATTCGGAATCTCATATAAATTGAACTGTAATTATTATATTTTATTTACGAGTACGTTTAAGAAAGCGTGTTGCTTTTCCGAACGGAAATCCTACCTATTTATGTTGCCTATTGTTGTCTGAGGCATTGCCACTGGCCTTTGTGTTAATGGATTCTGACCTGTTACAACATGCCGCTCTTTGCTTACTTCGGCTGGGGTAAGACGTGTTGCAAGTTTATTTCTGGATGGTCCTAATGTTTCAGGTGCATATATATATATACATATTCCTTTGTTTTTTTTCTAACGCCGTTAAGTAAAAGGAATATCCCCGCTATTGTCACATTTTTATGGGTCGAATGTAAGAATATTTTGCGTCAAAAAACGGCTGTTACATACTGTTCCTAAAAGTAATCAATTTTCAGTCGCATCACACTATCTACGAAAAGCCAAACAATGTCAATATTTAGTTCCGATATATTTCGTTCTACTTCGACTTTATAATGGCTGTGGCTGTCACGTAATTTTCTGACTTAAGTATCCAAAAATCATTCTAATATAATAATTGTTGTTTGTTTGTTTGTTTTGCTTATATCAAAGCTACTAAGGTTATCTGTCACCGACTCTAATTTTGAGCTGCCAGCCACAGGAAAGGCAAATGGCCAGTATCACCAACCACGAACTTTTCGGATACTATTTATCAACGACTAATGGAATTGACTGTATTCTTATAATAAGCCCATAGCTGAAAGAGTTTCTATGTTGAATTGCCTGTCTTCTTATAATACGCTCATAGCTGAAAGTCCTACTGTGTTGGATTGACTGTCTTCCTATAACGCACACATAGTTGAAAGGGTTGTTATGTTGTGTTACGCCTCCAGTCGTTAGTTGATTTTCCGTAACTTCATTCCGACGAAACTTTAGCGACACAAGTCCTTTCTTAATAAAACTGGTTTATTCTTTCTGAATATAACTTTACCGATACACTTATTTTCAACATTCGCTCTATAACAAACGCTATAACAACGAACGTTAACTTCAACAATACTTTCTGACTGCAGTTCAATTACTCACTACGTACACATACACATTACCGTCTCGTTGTCACCCTCTTTTATATACCAGACTACCCTAGATCTAGTAAATGCTAGAGCAT